GGGGGCCAATGTACTCGACGACGAAGACGGTTCTCCAATCCATCTGAGGACCTGCATTGCATTGTTAGAACGTGTTGTCCGGTATTGTTTAGCTTGTGTGGACGTACCCATATCCTTGACGAGGGTCTCGCCAGCAGCAACGACAGCAGGCTCATCGGCGATGCGAGCCCTGCGGTTCTTGAGGGTCTTCTTGGTGGAAGGATCGTAGAGGCCAATTCGGTTGTAGTCGCTGAGGCCAACGGCCTTGGCAATCATGATCTTGACATCCTCAACGGTGGTGTCGGGGCCGAGCTCGACAGAAGCTGGGAGCTTCTTGATGGGTTGCTTCGGAGCTACGAGGTGTCAGTTTATAGCTGCATAAAAGAGCAGAATGAATTCGTACAGCGGTTTGTAAGCTTGAGGGTCGTTAGAGTGGCCATCTTGAATCGTGCCGAGGGGGATGAAGTGGGAAAAAAGGAGGGGGGAGACAGATTCTTTGGTGTTGAGGACACCCAAGATATTTGGGAACCCGTTTAATCTCAGAGTGGATCGGCCCGCGCCAAGGCCTCGGGATCGGCGGGGTGTGTGTGCTTTCCCCTTTGGACTAATCAACATGAGCCTGTCGACTTTGTTGGGAAAAAATGTCATCGCTTCCCTTGCCCATGTGCTTATGGCATGTGATTTCAAAGGTTGAGCACTGCGATAGACTGCTTATGTGTATTCGCGTCTTTTTGCTGTATTACGCATTTGCTTGGGTGGTATCGAGGGCCTCATTTGCTATTGCTAGACATGTGCCGAGGCAGTTCTCTCAATCTGGTTTGGAGTATTGAACGTGACACCTCTATGGATAAATTGGGAGATAATCGACTTGAGTAGGCTGAAGTCTTTACTCTCTTCCCTTCTAGGCAACATCTGCGGTGTATAGGTTGTCAAGCAATCCAGATGTGGGAGTGTCATGTCTCCTTTGCCAGTCCCAGAATGGACAGGTTGAAGCAAAACATCGGTATCGGGCTCATCAACACAAAGAATAGAATGCACTAAGAAGGAAACTCACTATAGTCGCATTTCTGCCCCTTTAGAATCGACATTGCCCAAATCTGTCAATTGTGATGCCCTCCCTATTCACTCCGACATTGTCGGTGCTCTCAAGTGGTCATCCCTCACCATCATCATGAGAAACCATGATCAGTCCCAATTGTGAAAAATGCCAGTGATTCACCAGCACTAATCCGTCATTACCGCATTTGAATCAACAATAGGGAGAATACCCGTATTATCGCAACAATAGAGCACCGTCGCCCAAGCGGGACAATAACTAAGCATCCGAAATGCTTCACCTCGACCACACCACAGACCTTGCTTGTAAATATATTCTCGTCGGGAAACAGGTTGAAAACATCTTCACCTCCTACACAACTCGACTTTTACCACTCAAGCATCGACGTCCAAGGCTTCACCTGCGACTCGGCCTTGGACTGTTTGCTGCCGGTTACCCTATCAGCGTTTGCCTGGCAGCTGGTAGCCAGCTGTCGCGCATTCACATCGTCAACCCGACATTCGCAAAATTCCTGGCCTCGCACTCCAGGCTCTTTGTTTACTTTCAATTTCTGTGTCTATCCTGCGTCATTCACTTCATTTTCGTCATTCCCACGGACCTACGCAACCGATACCTACATCATAGCTCGGTCTTCAATCAACCTACGCAAACCACCCAAGGCCTCTATTTTCTTTAGCTATTTTCTCCTGCTTTGCTCTTTGCTCGCTTTTGCTTGATGAATCAAGATACAGTTGATTGAGTGAGTCTCTTTGCAAGCCTGCGCCGTCCATGAACGAGTAGCTAATTGATGATGTCTTAGAGATCAGCTATCGGTGTTCCTCGACAAAGGCAACATCCCGAAAGAGAAAGAGAAAGACAATATCCAGTCTGAGTGCCTCTCCTATCATCGGCCTCATGTTCACGGTCAGCCATCATATCAACAATCACCTCCTCTACCTACCTCGTCCCGTCAAGCCCGGCTGCATCCCGCTTGCTGCATTCCCCCTTGTGTCCGACCATCTCGAGAACCATTCTGCAACCTCTTTTCCCCTGAAGCTCATGGCTTGACAAGCCATCGGTCGTCACCATGAATCCTTGTGCGCCCGCCTTCGTCCCAAGCTCTCAGTCGTCCGAGTCGGACCCTGATTCTGCCAAGAAGCCCACGCGTTCGCCAGCGAAGAAGCCTCGTCCGCCTCGAGATGCCCCCTTGAAGCCGAAGCCTAAGCATAAGCGTAACAAGTCCAGCGTCAGTGTGGCACTTGATCCCAAGAAGTACGATACAATGTTTCCCTCCCTCCCGAAAGCCAGCCCGCCCAAGGAGCAGCCGGTCCAAAAAGCGAAGACGTCCAAGAAGAAGAAGAAGAGGGCTAAGAAAGTTAGTGTCCACAGTCCAGAAAACGGTGATCCTTCCAAGTCATCCGGAGCCACTGCCGAGGGTCAGGCTGCCCCAGAGCAAACCATCCAAGAGGAGACCACCGAAGAGAAGGTTGTCGAAGAGGAAGCCGTCCAAGAGGTCTTTGAGAAGCCTGAGCCTGATCCCGAGCCCAAACCCGAGCTTCTACAACCCACCGTCTATACCCCCGCGAAGCCGAAGTTGGAGCTCCTCAAACCTACCGTTTACACTCCACCAACTTCCTCTCACGCCCGCCGTAGAGACCAACAAGCTGATAACTTGCAAAGCCCAAGAGCTCGTGTCAACAAGCCCATTGGCAGATCGTCAAGACCCCGCCAGCGCCCCGACGTGCCGCCAACCCCTCGTCATGATCCAAGGAGCCGAGGCCGAAGGCAACCTGTAGCAGGTCCTCCCGTCACCATAGTTGGTACTCCAGCCGCCGTTCATGCTCTCGCACCCCTTGATCCAAACGCGCCTCTCGGTCCCATGATGGCCCCCATGATCGGGCCTTTCGATCCACAGGGGATGCCCTTCCCGCCTATGTGTGGCCCATCTCCCATGCCCTTTCCGCTCGTGCCTTGGAACATGATGCCCGTGCCCTGGCACCCATACCAACCTCAGATGCCATTCACTGTGGAAGGATATGACGGGCAATTCTGGCCTCAGCCTCTTCCGGTCGCTGCGCAAGCTCCTCAGCTGCAAGGGCCGCCCAGACCTGGGTCTTGTGAGTCCTCCAAGAACAGTGATTCGCTAAGCACACCCCGAACCACAGCCGTCCGTGGTCATCAGGCAAGCAACTCCCTCGGTGCAGTCCCGGGGCCCGGCACAAACATCGTCCCCAGAACCCAGGTCGAGATGTTCAAGAACCAGGAGAGAGCCAAGTCCTCTAGCCCCAGAGGCCCCAGATTTGGTCCCAGAGGCAAAGCTGCCTGGATGAAGGCGTCCCCTCTTGGTAAGACTTGCGCAATTGCCGTTGCTCCCGACGACAAGGAGGTACCCATGACAACCGCTGCCAAGACGTTCGACAAGCACCTCCGAGAGGTCACGGATCCCCGTAAGTGTACCGGTTTCATTCCGACTCGACAGGTCCAGACCTCGTTGGGATCGCCTCGCCTGATGAACGTTCCAAGTGCCAGCAGCCTCAACGACAGTCTGCTTCGCAGCCATAAGGTGCCTCGGGTACAGCTTCCTCAGCAGACCGATTCATCTATTGCAGGACCATCGTCTCAACGTCGCACTGTGAAACCCGTCAGCTCTAACACGCAATCGTCTTCTGCTCTTACCGGACCTGAGGCAGGTACATGGTCGCAGTCCAAGAGATGGACAAGCACGGCAACCAAAGAGCGCCAGTCCTTCCAGAAGATGATAGCTAACTTGCGATACATGGGTGCTGACCAGTCGCCTTTTGTGCCTCAGACTCCTGCAGAGCTCACGGCTTTCAAAGCAGCCATCGCCGAGACTGAAAAGCTCAAGCTAGCTGAAGAGGTTAGCCGACGAGTTGCTCGGTCGAATGCCAAAAACGAAGGGGGTGAGACAAAGCAGCTCCTCGAGAAGCTGATGGGCGGTAAGATATTCTCGGATCATCTGTCCCCTGTGTTCGCCATGAACAACTGCTTCAACAAAAGATTGCCCAGCAACCTAGTGCTGCAAGCTGAGTGGCCGCCTCTTTCAGAGTTCAAGGAAGAGGGTGACAAGCGTGCTGGTCGACCGGGTCGTTGCTTGCCCCTACCTCGTCTCAACTTGGTCGCTCCAAGGTACATCCACAGACCCTGGGAGGCGTGCAACCCTGATGGAACAATCCGCTGGGACAAGAAGGTAGTCCAGGTTGGTTCGCATTTCATCTGTGCAGTTACACAGCCAGACCCCTCCATCACGCCTCCTGTTGAGCTCAAAATCGATGCCCTTCATTTCTTGCTTCGAGCAATTCTTGGAGAGATCGATGGAGTTGAACCCAAGGCGGACAAGAAGGAGGTGAAGGAGGAGAAGAAGGAAGTCTCCGCCGAACAGGACAACCGCAAAGAGGAAGAGTCGTGAAGCCTGAACCATGACATGATGAGATTTTTGGAACAAAGAAAGGGCTTAGGCCTACTCACCTCGGATACGCACCAGAGAGTTCCTTGACAAGATTTCGAGATTTCGAGCGCGAACTTACGCAGCACTTCTAGAAGAAGATTCATCTTGCTATCACCGCCGGGGCTAACAAAGGTGAGGAGGGAAAGGAATATGAAGGTTTAGAAGAACGAGGCAAATGATCCCATCACATCGAGAGATTTAGAATGGTGAGCTTTGCCTGATATGGGATTTTTAGAAAGTCAAACAAATCGAAAACCAAGCGTTGGTCTCTGATCGTTGGCATCCATATTGTTGTTGTTGTAATTGAGTTGTGCAAACGTGTTAGTCTATTGGCTGCTTAACTGCCCCATCCACCCCATCCAAGCCCACACCTCATCTTGGTAGATCATCACGTGCGAAGGAGGGCTTTGCGGAACAACGCACGCCCGTGCCTCCGGAGTACGTACCTCCCGCTAGCGAAACCCGCACCCACAACCACAATTTTCGTTCGCTTTTCCAGACTTTGACCCTCGTTCCCGCCAAAAAGTTCACTCCTCCCACATCCGCCAATTCGATTGCCTGGTGAGCGCCAACATCATCGGGTTAGTACCAGACGACGAGAAGGAAGAACGACTCAATACACTGCTTCGACGATATCGACTCCTGCCGATCTCGAATATCCAGCTGATTGAGTTTCTCTTCCCCCCTCCGTCTCTCACCCCTCTCGTTGAAAATCATCCAGCTAACCACTTGGGAATCTCTCCCCTCACAGAAACCGCAATCATGGGTATCTCGCGTGACTCTCGACACAAGCGCTCCGCCTCCGGTGCCAAGCGCGCCTACTACCGTGCGTAATAATTCCGAAAGCCCGTATGCTCCGTTTTTGGACATACGTTCTGACCTTTGGCAACAGGGAAGAAGCGCGCTTTCGAGGCTGGTCGCCAGGGTGCCAACACCCGTATTGGCCCCAAGCGCGTCCACACCGTCCGCACTCGTGGTGGTAACCACAAGTACCGTGCCCTCCGTCTCGACTCGGGCAACTTCGCCTGGGGCTCCGAGGGCTGCACCCGCAAGACCCGTGTCATCGGTGTCGCCTACCACCCCTCCAACAACGAGCTGGTCCGAACCAACACCCTGACCAAGAGCGCCGTCGTCCAGATCGACGCCGCCCCCTTCCGACAGTGGTACGAGGCCCACTACGGCCAGCCCATCGGCCGAAGACGCCAGAAGGCCCAGGCCGCCAAGGAGGGCAAGACTGAGGAGGAGGTCAAGAAGTCCAACGCCGTCGAGAAGAAGCAGGCTGCCCGTCACGCCGCCCGCGGCAAGGTCGAGAGCGCCGTCGAGAAGCAGTTCGAGGCCGGTCGATTGTTCGCCGTTATCTCCAGCCGACCTGGCCAGTCCGGTCGCTGCGACGGTTACATCCTGGAGGGTGAGGAGCTCGCTTTCTACCAGCGCAAGCTCCACAAGTAAACTGGCGGCTGTTGAAATCTGGTGAAGAAGAAAGGACTGTTGGCCCCTGGTATGGTGTTCAAGGATTTCTCGCTGTCTTGGCATTTTCAAGGCATGATGAGCTTCACATAACGCATCGGAATGGGTCCTTAGGGAATAAAAATTTTTCTTGCGACGAATGCAATTTCATGATCAAGGTCTTTTCTCTTGCTACTTGTGAACCCAATGGTGACGTCGTGTCGTGTGCATCTAGTAAAGCTCTCCTTGTCATTCATTGACGGGATAGGTCTCGGTGAATCAACCGCCAACAGACTATAGAAGCATACAAGACATCCTTTTAACGCCTACACACGTGGCATCGTTACTCCATGCCGTACAAGATGGGGTTTTCATGAGTGTTTCTTTGTAAAATGCCAAAAACAATGCCGCCGTAGTCTTTTCCCATCATTACAAAACATGCGCGATCCGCTCTGTCCAGCGAGCTGCCGCGCCCCAATCAAGGAAGCAAGCAAGCAAAAACAACCCTGACTGGAAAAGGGCCATGGCGGGATCAGTAGAACAAGAATACTTTATACATGAAGCGTTGGTTCGGAACCAGATAACCAAAATTGGGTTGCGAGTGGATTTGGTTTATGCAAACTGACGTTTCAAGTCGGTCCACTTGCGGTTCAGAGTCTCGTGCTGGGAGTTGATCTAAGAGATGTTAACAATCTGTCTTGGAATGTGATACATGGGTAACTCACCTCTGCATAACGCATCTTTGTCTGAACCAACTCCTCTTCGAGCTCACTCAGCTCATTCTCGAGCCTCTGGTTCTCCTCGTGCACGTGGAGGTTGCGCTTCATCAAGTCATCACGCTCCAACTTCCATTTTTCCTCAAACTCCGATGGCTGCTTCTCGATAACGATCTTCAGCTCTCGGACTTGGCCTCTCATACTTTCGTTCTCATCTTTGAGCTCCTCGTTCTCGACTTTGGTGTGGACGAGCTCAGTTGCGAGGTCAGCCTGCTCTCGATCACAGACCTCAACCCTCTCCTCGAGTCTTCGGACTCTGATGGCAAAGTTGTGGTTTGCCGTCCGAAGCTCGTAAAGTTCATTCTCACGTTCCTTCTCAGCCTTGGTCTTTTCTTCCCACTCGGTGCTGTACGCCTTGAGCATCTCGGGTGTGATCTTGACCTCGCAGGCATCTCTGACAAGTTGATCAGCCCGGTACACCTCCTTATCCATGCTGGAACTTGAGCTTCCGAAGAAACCGTTCTCCAAAAGGCTTCCATGACTGGGGTCCTTGTCAATGTAGACGTCAAAGACCTTGTCCTTCAGATAAGTTGTGAGCTGCTGCATGTCAGACAGCCCGAGAAGTGTGGTAGCGTTCTTCTGCATAAGGACAATACCAAATCGGAGAATTGCTGAGAGACCCTCCGAAAGGATAAGGTCATAAATGCGTAACACTAGTTGAAGGGGGAAACGGTAGGCAAAGAGAGTCAAGAACCACTGGGTTGCGTAGAGGTGGGGAGAGATGCCCTTGCGGTGAAGGTGACAGTACAAGGCAGGCTCAAAGTCTTCAAGCAGACGTTCAAACTGATAAAGGTGCATGTGCAGTCCAGGCATGTCCTGGATAAACAAGTCTCGCAACTTGTAGTGGTTCATCAATCGGACAAGGAGACAAAAGGCTTCTTGTTCGGGCATCTATGTAAAATAATTAGCACTGGAAACGAATGTGTTGGTTTTAAACTTACGTTGAAAAGCAAGGGCATGATAAGGAAATTCATGCCTTGAGCATATCCAACACCCTCGTCAAAGAGAGCATATGCCTTGCAGACACCAAACAGACCCTCTTGAAGCCCAGCGGCAGCCGCATACTTGGAATAGCTAGTGCGGGCACCCAGGTCACGACGAATCGTCTTTTCAAGCTTCTGCAGCATAGCCGCATCCTCTTTCTCCTTTCGCTTTCGCTCAGCTGCGGCGGCTGCTTGTGCTTTCAAAATAGCTTCGGTATTCTTCTCGTTGGGTGACGGCGCACCTGAATGGTCCGAGTTCACAGAGGAAGCTGAGGACGTAACAGCGTCACCACTATGAACGCTAAGGTTTCCGTTGCTCAGCGAGCTGGTAGTCGTGCTGTTGCTGTGACGGTCCTTGCTCCTGTCGGTACCACGGGTGACCAGGTCCTTGTAAACAAGCTCTAGATCCTCATTCTTGCTGTTGGCCAAGACTTGCCAGATGACTCCACGGATGGCGCTAGGAATTCCAGTGGCGATGGCCTTGTTCAGCTCCTCAGCGCTGGTCCGGGCGACAGCAGCTGGCCCTTCGTAGACGACAGACTGCCATAGGTCCCAGTCAACGTTCTCCTCTGCCATAGCCGAAGGCCCTGCGTTAACTCCGGACACAGTTCCGGGGGCGAGACCAGGAATCGGCTGTGGAACCGGGGAAGGGAGGGGCTTCTCATGAGGATGAGTTTCCTCCACTTGCACAGTCAGACCAGTAGTTCCATTCACATTCTCACCCTCGCCTTCGGGTGTACGGGTGGCCTCCTCTTGTAGTCTCAATTGCTTAAATCTGTCTTTGAGGCTAATCCGCTGTGCAGGTTCGCTATGGAGCGAATCCCCATCCTTCTCTTCCTCAAGTCGACTGAGCATCATCTCCGGATTGCTTGTAAGGGTTGCGATAGAGCTAGCAGTACCCCTTCGTCCCGTACTGTGTGGTGGTGGCGGTGGAGGGGTCTCCTTCTCTTTGCTAGAGCTCCGGGACAGCCAAGAGAAAGGGCTGGTGAGCTTTCGGCTTGGAGCCGGGGCTGGAGGCTGAGGTTGAGGCGGAGGCGGAAGAGGTGCGACGACCGGGGCTGGTGGAAGGGATCCCCTTGAGGCCGCCTCGGCTGGGGGCGACCATGGCATCGAGGGTAGGGAGATGTTGTTCAAAGATATCGATTTATTGTGCGGCTCCTTATCCTTGGGGGGACTCTTGGGAACTGCATTGCTAGTGTCAGTACAAGCCGAACATCGGGCAAGAGTGTGGGAGATGCCTCTTACCAGGAGGTGGAGGCGGAGCGTCGTCGTCGTCAAGGCTAACGTTATCTAAATTGGAGGTACTGGAGATGCGTTTCGAGACAGATGACGATTTCCGTCGAGGGAGAGGTTTCTCATGGAGGCTTTCTACCTCGTCGTCGGATTCTGCAGCAGCATCCCCTGTCTTGGACGCCCGTTTGTCCTCTGAGCGATGTGTCTCTACAGACTTCCGGTCGGATGGCACCTCGGCAGCAGCATCTTGTGCTGGGGTCTGGGATTTGTGATATGATACGGTTCGCTTTGTGAGAGATCGCGCGGGAGAATGCGCTACGGCGTCTTCGAAGTTGTCATCAGGATCGGTTGCCTGCTTGATTAGCATAGGGGTTCTCCAGCGAAGGGATGCAGTCTGTCGTGTGACAGTTGCGGTGGGAGAGGGTAAAAAGCGGGATCGACCTACAGGGTCGTCGTCGTCAGACTCCGTGCCAGACGAGAGTCTCTTGTTCTCGGTCTCCTTCTGCTGCGGCTTCTCCTCCTGCTTCTCGGGCTTCTCCTGCTCGGGCTCGGCGTGGGCCTGGGTCACCGGCGTGGTGACGGCTTCTGTCTGTGACATGGCTCCGAAGGCGGCCGGATGCTGAGCTGCGATGTGGTCGGTCGTCGAGTATCTATCAAGCGCCGAGAGGGAACGAATATGTGGCCCCTCAATTGCCGTCCATGTACGGAGGTGTAATACAGAGGGCGGTCAATGCGGCGAGATGCTATGCGGTACGGTGAGGGATAACGAGGACTTGAACGAGAGACTGAGCGCTGCGAGAGGAAGCGAACGGAAGAATGCCAGAAGCCAGCTGTTGGCAGAAATCCAAGGGGGGTTGTGGCGTTGATGCTGCTGCCCCTTAGAACGGAGAGAGTAGTCCAAGGTTGACCAAGTGGACTGGAAGCTCGGGGTTTTGGCAGTGAGGCGCTGACCCGCCAGAAATAAACTGGGTACGCCTCTCTAGCGAGCGTAGCTCGGCGGGCTGTCTTTGTCGGTGGCAGCGGCTGGCTGGTCTGACGCGCTGTAGCTGTGGATTTAGGGGACGCCCTGATTCCCCAAGGCGGTGCTGGAAAACGTCAGGCGGCGTGCCCTGGAATGGAGATCTCTCCCTCCACCTTGTGGCAGACTGGTGATGGCCGCCGTTGTGTTGAGTGCTGGTTCCTCGCTCGCCACGCAATGGCTGACAATGGGAATGCTGTGAATTTAAATTCAAGTCATTGATTCTGAATGGGGGCTTGCCAGTCTCGGCGCGCAATTTACAGTACCCAACTGTTTGCCCCTTGCTTCTTACCGAAACGGAAGAGCTTGCAAGCCCCCATGGATGGATAGATAGGCAGGCATCACTCACTCAGTGCTTTGAATCGAGGTCCATGCCTACGGTCTGAAGATCTCACCAACACCACGATCGCCACCGTCATATCAGCCGCCATCATGCTCGAGCCAAGGTCATGATGCAGCAGATCTAACCTTTGACGGACCATTGTCCAAATACCTGCCCATCGGCTACCCCTCTCTCTCCATCACCCTAGAGCACCAAGCAGCCCACAGAAGAGCTCTTCCCGGCGTCAGAGTCTCCAGGCACGTTCCAGTCCAGAGTTTGGAGCCGTCTTCCGCCTCCAGCCCTGGCTAGGGCAAATGCGTCCATATCATCACCAGCCAGCCTGACGCCAACTTCGATTTCCCCTTCAATCACGGCTTGCGCTTATGCACGTACGCAGTATAAAGGACGCCAGGGACCCAGGCACTTCCCCAGCACGACTGTTTCAGAGCCACCCGAGTCCTGCACAGGCATGGGATGACGTGGGTCTTTGGCCAATAGCAAGTTTCGAATGCCCGTTTTGCCAGCTTGTTCCCAGCTGACACTGATCGCATCTCGTACGGCCATGGCAAGGATGCCCGCGGATTGTTGTGAGACAGGTATTAACGCGGCATAGTGATACCTACTATAGAAGGTTGTTTCCGTGTCTTTTGGCCATGTTTATTTCTCTCCAGGGTATCAACATGGACCAGATCTAGGTAGCCCTTCTCCAAAGACTCGGTATTTCTCAAGGTCCGGGTATCCGTGTGCACTAACGCAGGGGCAGCGGGTTTGGCGGTGTCCCGCTCAAATGCCGGCGAGCTCATAGTGAATGAAGCTTGGCAGACAACACCCGTGCCGTTGAAATGGGGGGTTCAAAACTAGCGGGGG